ACAACGACAACGACAACGACAACGACAACGACAACGACAAATATGACAACAGAAGATACCTTTGCACTTCCCATCTATAGATTTAGATGTAGTTCCACACATGAACCCCGACTCACGGTAAACACAAGTATCATACGACTGGTTTTTATATGTGTAAGGGAACACACAACAGTCATCAGTAATTGTCGATCGGATCGGACACATCTCTCTTGATGGACCTTTGTTAAGTGAAAGGATAAAAAAAAAAAGTAAATGAGCATCATATTGTCTCATGCGGCACAAATAATATACTAATTTTATCAGTATATTTATCTGCAAATACTAAGACATCAAGAAATGTTGGAACTACCACAATAAAGAAGGCGACGTCAGAAGAATGATTAAATATTCGTTCATAGTGTCAATAATGATGATGATGACTGACGATGATATGAATGATGATGGATGAGGATAATGGTAATAATGATGATGATGATGATGATCACGATGGTGATAATAGTAGTAAAGATGATGACGCGATGTTGACGGCGATGATGTGATATGAATGATGATGGATGAGGATAATGGTAATAATGATGATGATGATGATGATGATAATAATAATAATAAAGTCATAAATAAGTGTTGTCAATGAAACTGGCCATGTACGATGCATGATAATAATGAAATTAATATGAAGGCCTATTTTTGTCTAAAGGTAGGTTGACCTTACTAGTTCTAACTCCTTTGTCTTGTTGCCTCTTGGAAAGTGAAACTAACGACTTGCCCCTAGCACCAGGGACAACCTGCCTTCAAGTCAACAGTGCCCAATAAACATAACATTACTTACTATACAGCAAGCGCATTGTATGGTAATCTATCGCACGATCAAAGACCATCAAATCTCTCAAACATCCACGCAAAAATTGATTAGTGTCCTTTTTGGCGCCAATCTCGAAGGAAGTGTGGCCTGTCAGTTTTAAATCAACATCCATGTTGTGAGGGAGTCCCTTCATTGTCTTAAGCAAGGCGTTCTCGTACAGGTATGCAGAACGCGACTGTCGGTCCCAAACAAAGCCAACGTGTTTCCATCCTTTGGATGTGCTCAGTGCACTGACAAAAAAAATCAAAGATATATCAATAACCTCATATTTGTGATAACAGTACGTTAACACCTATGATGACAACGGTAAACTATTACAACATAAAAAATATATTACAACATAAAAAATCTATTACAACATAAAAATCTATTACAACATAAAAATCTATTACAACTTAAAAATCTATTACAACATAAAAATCTATTACAACATACAAAACTTTTACAACATTAAAATCCTGGACAATAAATGGATAATAAATAATAAAGAAAATAACATCATCTTTTTGCCGCCTAATAAACATTCGCATTTGTTTAAAAAATCAAAGTTTCTTAGCTCAACTTACGTAGTCAAATGGATAAGTGTATTGACGTTACCCTTCCCACGCAATTCCGCCATAAGATTTCCTTGATACACATAGAAACGAAACTGAAACGGGTCGGTCCAGTCAGAATAAATATGATTCATGACGCCTGTATCCATGAACATCACCCAACACGTAATAGAAAAACTCGTCAACCGTATATCAATAGCAGGAGTCTCTAGGTAGGCTGTCTTCCCGTCTAGGCATGTTACGAAACGACCTCGGTCTCTGAGGTATGTTACTGCTCCTACAGGTCTAAAAGTTAGAGATGCAAATCAGTGACGTTCAGCGACGGTAATTGACAAAGTGTACTACCGAGGGGCATTTAGCACTAATAAACGTAGAAAGGGAATGTAAGAGATATGACTATGAAATACTAGGGTGAGTTTTCGACAGTGCTGCTATTTGTGCATCGTTTAATATCAGTCGCAACACTGAGTTTTGAATTCATGCTTCTCAGGGTTAGCTTCCATTCTGTTGTTGCTGTTACAGCTGTTTTTGTTGTTTGGGTTTTTTATTGTTATTGTTTTCTTGTTTGTTTGGTGTTTTTGGTTTTTGTTGTTGCTACTTTTATTATTCACCATTTTTCGTACATCGGTTCACTGGTCAAACACAAAGCGCCCAAGCGAGGCGCCAAGGTACTTTCAAAGGATTATTCAAATTTAAACCTTGCAACCTCGACTCAATGCTTTGTGTTTGACCAGTGAACTTATGCATGGAAAATAATGAATTGTTGTGTTATTGTTGTTTGTCGTTGTTGTTGTTGATGTCGTTGTTGCTACTACTGTTGCTGTTGCTTCTGCTGTTTTTGCTGTTGCTATTTCTCTTTCTGGTGTTTCTTGTTTCTGCTGCAATCGCTGTTGTCACTGTTGTTGCTTGCTGCGTTGCTTGCTGCTGTTCTGTTGCTGCTGTTGCTTTTGTCATAGCTTGTTGTTGGTTTTCCTGCTTCTGTTTGTTATAATTGGTTCTGGTTTTTATTGTAATTATATATGGCAGTTTCGATATTTGTCTGATAAAATATGCAGCCCGTAAAGTCCTCCACTGTAATGTAAAGCGCATTGAGACATTGTGAAATGCGCTATAGAAGAACCCCATTATTATTATTATAAAGCATGTTGTATACCTTTTCAATACTTACTTTACATCATTATCTGATTTATCTAGTTTCCAATGTTTGATAGCACCGAATGTCTCTTTGTAGATTTCAGGAGGATCAACTACAAAAACAAGCAAATGCCTTTAGCTAGTTTTTCCAATCATGAAAAATAATATGTGAGTTGAGGTAAGTAAGTCACTGACGATTTCCTCAAACTCATACCAACTTTCAACAAAAGGTTTGAACAAGCGGAATAACTTCATTAAGGTGGACGAATGAATATACATACCATATCTTGGTATGATATCACAGGTTTCTTTAGAGAAGACGATGTCATCTATTCCTAATTTTGGATACTTGGTGACTTTTCTTCCTTCAATTACCACCTGAGAAGATCAAAAAAGACATACGCTTTATTTATCTTCCACTATCGAGAAATACGGTTATTATTTAGCATTCTTCTGGCCTGAAAGTCGTTTTTCGTACAAATAATATCAAACTTTAAAGATCTAGGTAAGGTGACAACTTAAAGTCTTATTTGACAATGAAATGGAATCTATAACACCACGCGTGTGCGTGCTGAATTTGTTTGATGTGTTGTGCTCTCCCTTGCCACGAGGGCTTTTCTCCGGGTTCTCAGGTAAAAACCAAAGTGTGAGTTGTGTATATTGTATATTAGCGTGTTGCAGAGCGAGTGAGTATTGAGTGAATCTGTTTTACATCTTCAGACATCCAACGTGGCTGCCGTCACGTGATCTACAAACCATTTCCACATTTCTCTTACTTGATAATATTGTGAGTAATTCAGCGGAATCTGTGCATATTGCCATCCATATGTGTCTTCAGTCCAGCTCCACACTTCCATCGTTTTGATCTTCGTCTTCACCGATACTTTTATTCCGGTACTTAGCTTCCCTCCGACAACCAAGGTGTACCAGAACTTAAAGCAACGCACGCCAAAGCTGGTTTTGATAACAGGGCTGATGAACTGCTCCCAAATTGGCTGGCTTTTTGATGGTAAAAGGAAAACATAGCCATCTGAAAATAACGGTATTAATTCCTTATCAACTTTATCTGAAAAAAACTAACCTTAAAAAAACGAGTGGGAGACTGGGCACCTCTTTGTAGCGAGGGAACTGAGCAAGGATTTCTTTAGAAACCATAGTAACACTACTTTTCAGCATTTTTCCCTTTTTTCCCCTTCAACATATCATTTTAGAACGGATTTAGGGTGCATTGAACAGGAACTCCTGATTGATCGAAGTTTTTATTCTACATATTTCAGTTATGCGAGGATTCGATTTGATGCCTTCACATCATTGTAATATTAAGTATCTGAATCTGGTATTGCCGTGTTTCATTCAGATGATAAAAGTCTTTGAATCTTATCATCTGCTCCCGAAATGGTGTTCAAACACTGACCACCATGTGCTGTCAGACAGAAAGAATTCTATTGAGTAAAATCGATCGATTGAACTTTGATGACGTACCTGAGCGATATATATTGTCAAGGTTGTGCTTGTTGGCGGAAGAAGGTTGAACTTGCCAAAAATTACTTGCTTTCCAATTGCAAATGTCTTTATCAAAATCGCATCTAAGGGAACCTGAAAAACAAATAATTAATCATTATCACTCCTGAATTGTTATTCTTAACATCCTCTAAAATGAATCAACTATTTCAATAGGTCCTTACCTATATCTTCACTAGGTGTTGTACATCTATCGAATGATATAGATAGGTCATCTATTGCGATATCTCCACAGGGCCCTGAACCTATTACGCCTTCCAGAATGATCTAAAAAAAACACGAGAAAAGTATAACCTTGAGCAACAGAGAACTTGAAAGTGGAGTATTTTGGTGATGCAAGCATTAACTCGTCTTGAGCCTGGTTCACTACGCGCAACGTAAAAGCAAGCAAATTGAAATACGCATGCGCAATAACTAGTGCTTGCTAAGTTGGCGTTGTTCGTGTGAACCAGGGTTAACAGTTTTTTTTAAAGAAAAGATTACACATACTCGGTGCGTTTTCTTGGAGAGGTACCCAACTTGTCCAAACAGCCAACTGTTGCCTTTGTCCCCACTTTGTGACCACAGCAAATTCATTGAGTTATTACTCTTTCTGTAGATGTTCAGGCTTCCAGTTTCAATACCGCTCATGTGGTACCAGAACTGGATACACACTGACTGAGTACCTTTGATGAAGTCACTTGAAAGCAGCGCCTTTTCTCCTGCTTGCTCATCCGATGCTTCGATGTAAATGTATTTACCTAGAGCAAAGATATAAAGCTGTCACACACTACTCACTGACTTAAATTGTTTTTCTTCCTGGCTCTTCAGTTTTCGTCCCTCTGCAAAAACCAACAATCTAAATTCCAATTCAATCTGTGATTTATCCGTGCCCTGACTTAGATCAGCCCAGAGGTTGTTTCAAGGTTTGATTTGCGAATTATCCTTGTCCTGGCTTAGATCAGCCCAGAGGTTGTTTCAGGGTTTAATCTGTGAGTTAGGCATGCCCTGACTTAGATCAGCCCAGAAGGTTGTTTCAGGGTTTAATCTATGAGTTATCTGTTCCCTGACTTATACATCAGCCCAGTGTTGAAAATTAAAAGACCTTCCAATATGGGGCCCCTTCAAACGGTTCTGATATTCCAGGATTACCCAATACCTTTGTTATCCATATTCGTGTGATCATAGTTGGGTCCAGTTTCTTTTGTTGGTGTCGGTCCTGAGTTGATAAGCCACTGGAAACTCCCTCCTCGATCATGTGTCAATCCGCACAGACCTCGTTCAAAATCGCATTCAACTGGGAAATATAGATGAGGGAAATAAATATCTACATCATTGTAAGAATCGTTTGCACGAGCTTTATACTATGAACGAGCTCACGCCCTTAAAACAGAAAACGCTATTTTGTTTCATAGAGGGCCCTAAAGGGATAAAATAGGAGCTGGGACTCACCTTTTTTGGGCTGGGGAAATGGGATTTTATGCTCTGGGATGGGATTCACAAACAAAAACATTAAAAATGGGAATTGAGGATTGAGATTTGAGCAATACATAGCCTGGGACTATGGGATGCGGTCAAAATAGATGCAGGGAAATGGGATTAGAACCCCCTTTCAGGACCCTCTGTATAGTTAAGGTTGATGAGTAGAGTAGCTACCTTTGTTACTTGCACATTCTTGATTTTGTGTTCTGTTTTCAGTTCCCATGCAGCTTTGATTATTTAGAGGACAAAATCCCAAACCTAAATCAACCAAGAACTATAAGAATACAATATACAGAATTTTTAAATACAATAATATAGTCTGCTCAAGGGAACAAAAAGTGTTACATAACTTTATCAAAACATTCAGCGCGCTCTGTATTTGAGGAATCTTATTGTTACTTTTTTTTTATTTATTTAGCTTCGCCAATTAAACACCCACGCATGCACCACACACACACGCGCACGCATTATAGATAAATATATATACATACATAATATCCACTACAATCCAATCCACAACAACATGTGCCAATTACAGTGCATTGACCGGCTGAAAGACTACTCGTTTCAGCTGAAAATAGGATGGAACGCATTTGTTCCTGTGTCTTCAAATACTTCTTACCGCATATTTCAGGCTCATCACTCTGGTCTTCGCATTGGTAATAATGATCACAGGTCTGAGACCATGGAATACATGAACCACTTAAACACTGGAACTGGTCATGAGAACAGGAATCTTCTAAGAAGGAAGGATGGGAAAGAAACGATATATTGAGAAAGACGATGCAAAAGGGTCGATGAATATATGTAAATACACCAGTTTCGCATTTCATGCCTGCCGCTGATTTTAAAGACCAGACACTCATTTGTATAGGTTTAGCCTTGTTTATAAGTCAGCTATTCTCCAGCATTCGCCATTTTCCATACATTGGTTCACTGGTCAAACACAAAGCGCTCCAGCGAGGCGCCAAGGTACTTTCAAAGGATTATTCAAATTTGAACCTTGCAACCTCGACTCAATGCTTTGTGTTGGACCAGTGAACCGATCTATAGAAAATGGTGAATTTCAAAATATTGGTAGTGTTCAACTTGCAAATTCTTTACAAATTGCAAATGACTTTAGCAAATGGTTTGCTCTTAAACGAGGCTAGACCTGTGCTACGCCTGTGCTTCACCAGAAAGATAATCCAATGAAGCTTCCAAATGTTAGATGCCCCTGAGTCGAAACATAAATATTACGAAAGTTATGTCTATTGATAGTAGCCTATTGAATTATCGTGGTACTCACTGCATTGCCTTTCATCTGAGCCATCCTTACAGTCCTCTATACCATTACAAAGTTGGCTAGCCGTGACGCATTCCCCACTGGAGCAAGAGAATTGGTTGGAGAGACATTTGCAGTTCTTTTCATCCGATCCGTCAATACAAAAATGATCTCCATCGCACACTAGATCTTTATTGATACAAATGCCGTTTGCACATTGAAACTGGTTGTCCTTTTGGCATCGATAATCTGGAAGACAAAATCATGCTATAGACGTCTTGCAGCAAGTCGGAATGCAGTTCAATGTGGAGGGACATTACAATGGGTTTCCAATTATCAGGAGATTGAAATTCTGTTTTGTCCTCCAAATTTAGCTCATTTGACGTCACATGCAAAGGGTCTATAGATAGTTTTAAATCATTCACAAGAGGCTCAAGAGACAAAGACATCCATGTTGATGGTATTAATAAAGGAGGCTATTGAGAAATATATTGTTAACTGCCTCTATTTTTAGGAAAAGCTAGTGGAAGATAAATGAACGGGTATTTTGATCATCAAAATCCAACAAATAAAATGACAAAAACCCAAGTTATATTTTTTTCTTAACAATTCGAAAAGAGATAAAACGTAATAAACTGTTAGTCAAGTTGGAAAGAACACTACCGGGTGCAACCAGAAGCTTCACATTATATTCACTTTTTTTTCGTTAGCGATATAAAAGACCACTTTACATTCGGCTTAATGTTTTCGCATTTCAGACCACATGTTATTCATTGTTTCTTTGTTTAACGGTTATGCATGGGAAGACACATGAATATGGATAGAACTCCGGCATAGAATATTATTCTTAAGAGAAGACACGTATCTGAAATGGATAAACATTATGCCCAAAATAAAGAGGATTTGCAAAAAGTTTGAACTGATACCTGGACTGCTATGTATTGGTACACGAGGACACAGCGCTGATTCCAGTGTGACAGAATCCAATCCAATGGATATGGAATCGTTTGAAACACTTGTCCCAATAAAAATGACCTGTTGAAATTAAAAAAAGAACGTTACCAATTGGCAAATTCCCTCTTCTCTTTCTGAATTCCGTTTCTTATGCATCATTTTTCTCATTCCATCACCCTTTCTATTTTTTTTTTTATTCTTAAATTTCTTTGCTCTTTCATTTTCTTTCCTTTCCTTTCCTTTCCTTTCCTTTCCTTTTTTTTTTTTTTTTTTTTTTTTTTTTTTTTTTGGCGCGCTAAAATAACGCACAACTCGTCGCGCGGTTTCGTCAAGGTTACATATCTGCGTAATCGAACTCACCAATAGCTTGCATCATAATTCTATATTTTCAAATATTAAATCATGAGGTACCTTAAAGTCATGATCCAGAGCTTTCCACGACAGCTGGCCTGAACTCCAACCATTCCCTTGATACCCTCTAAGGCTCCACAACAATGTATCGTTCTGATTACTACGATGTTTAAGAACGACTTGCAGTTGTGAGTTCGTCAAGGTTGGAAGAAGATAATTAAATCGAAGACAAAAACCAAGTGTTTTTAGCACGTGACTGCTCAATATCCAATCAGTCTCCAGCAATGCTTTTCTTTGTTGATTTAGAGAAAGAAAAGATCTTTTACCTGGAACATACCGATCACATAAGCCAATTATTATATCAAATAATAATCATAAATAATAATAATTTTCCTATATCCTCCTTCCTTTTCCTATATCTAAATTTCTTTTAATGTATATGTTGGGTTGGGACTTTTTTTTTTTTTTTTTTTTTTTTTTCATTGGGGTTGGGTTTGGGTGTTAATATTATATAAGGGACCTAGAGTCCTATTGTATCATCACCTGCCCTTGGGCGAATCATGAAATAAATAAATAAAAAATCATAAATAATAATAATCATAAATAATAATATTTGCTCTCATCACAAATGTACATATGTTGTTTTGAAATTGATAATAATAATCTAACATTCCTTATAAATAAAATGAAAAATTAGCTCATAAATAATTAAGGAATAGTTAATGCTTAGCGTTCGTATATCCAGTTCTGGATGCACGCAGGACGTTGCTAAGCACGAAAGAAGCGTAAGAGTCGCACGACGCGTAGCCGAGTACAACCTCCAAAATGCATCCGCAACTGGATATACTTACAACTAAGCACTGACCATTGCTTTCATAACATAGCAAAACCGAAACAAATATTTGTTTATCCAAAAAAATATCAAATTTTGTTCTAACGAAAACTTCATTACATAGCGCCAGCGACACGTTAGTTCCTTGTCACTTATAAATGCATATTGTAAATCACCCCCTTGGTCGTTTGTTGGCTTTCTTACTGTAAGTACTTACTGTCGTAGCTTTGTAACTTCCGAGTCAAATTCCATCCATTCTCATTTTTCCAGGAGCACGTGTTTTTTATGAAGTTACATCCTAGATATACCTTAGCTACAAGAGAAATCATTGATGTTGATTAAAGTTCTCACAAAACAAAAATGTAATTATCGTTAAAAGCGGGCGGGCGGGCGGGCTAACCTCCCCAACTCCTCCGTCTCCGTCTCCGCCGTACTTGTCTCATCCATTCGTCCGTCCGACCGTCCGTCCGTCCATTTATTTTACGCCTATCGCCAGATACTTACGCAAAACCGTAAGTGTGCCTACAATCTTCTGTTCTATTTTCTCGTCTAAGCCATGACAAAATGAATAACTTATCTGAAACAAAAGACGTAATAATTTTACTCAGGGACGGTGGGAAACTGCATTTTGAGAAGCCTTGTTCCCCGGCCACCATTCCCTTCCCTGCATTTTAAACATGTTTATAATATTTTAGTTGCATTGCAACAGTTCGAGATTACACAGGAGCTCCCTTAATTCTTAAGTTTCGTTTCACCCTTCTCTGTTACCTACATTCATGAAGTAGTCACGTGGTTGCGCCAGGATGTTTAACGTTGCTGTAAAGTCATTCTCTTGACAATCCATAGCAAGAGACTCGGCGACGGTGATAATGGAATCGAGAACACGGAATTGAAGCTTGATTGGGCAGTTTGGACAGTAAATACCACGACAACAATATTTATAAGACGCTAGTGAAGGAAGATGAGAGTATACAAATTATAATTGACGCGCGTCATTTAATAGGAAAAAGAGGGAGAATTCATGTACGCTATATTGTTCACATATAAAACAGCAAGGACAACAAAAAATAAGACCTTTTATGAGTTTGATACAAACAACATCTCACAAGGGAAGATGGACAAAATTTGTTTGAAAAGGTCTACGTCACCAAAGAAGAATGCAATCAAATGGGGTTTATTTATTAAGTGTTTGTTATGGATTATACTGAACATTTTTTTTTTTTTATTTTTGAGAAAAAATTGACGCGTTACTGTACACTGAATGACTTGATATCAGTCAGTCATATAAACTTGGAAAATTCGTTAACCACCAATAACGAGGGCATTATCTCACCCCCGCCTCAAATATTGGCCAAGGAATACAAAGGGACTCTATCTTTCTCACAGTCTATTCTCTATCTCCATCTTCCTATCATCTGCTAGGCCAGAGCTGGACCTATTATACTTCCATGGTTGCGCAAACAGCACGTTAATAAGTAGCAAACCTTCTTTTAGTTTGTTATTTGTTTGTTTGTTTGTTTGCTTTTATGTTTGTTTTGTTTTGCTTTGTGTGTGAGGATGTTTTCCATTTATTCCTGAGAAAGAAAAAAGTTCATAAGAAATTTTGGTCCAGTTTATCTGGACTAGGTAGCTTTACATCTATCTAGCTACCTCCTATTCATGGTTCCTCTACACCCACCCTTTCACGACGTCTCACCTTTGATAATAAGTCCCTTAGTGCCGGTGTCGACCTTGATTACGTCATTATGTTCCTTGAGCTCAAAATAGATCTCCCTCGTACCTATTGAAAGATGAAAATAATCAAATAAATGAATGGAATAGCGTTACGCCCAAAGTAAAAGGGTTCTATTATTTTCTTAACATTGGTCCTCGAAACATTAATATACCAAATTCGTCTTATTGGTTCAAACTTTACTCTTTTCAAACCAAGGGTCATTCTCTTGAGAATAAGATTCTTTATTTGAGTTGTATCCATATCCATGTGTCTTCTCATGCGCAACCTTCAAACAAAGAAATGATGCTCAAGGGAATGACATATGATCTGAAATTGGTAAATATTGACAAATTATTCCACAAGCTTCCTAAAAAATGAAAACATCTTACAAATATACCTTCAATATATCTTTTTTAATCCAAGGTTAACATTTAGAGATGCAGACATTTAGCATCAGGTTTGTCGCTAACTGGTAGGGATCGGGCCCAAAAACACACCCGCAAACAAAGAGAAACATCCAGCATCAATGAAATTCAATATGGTGGTTCTTCCAGCAACAACCTCGTTATGACGCCTTGCTAAATGTCAAAAAAACTGACGGAAAACGCTTGACATCGAACTGAAGTCTGAGATCTGCGGTACCTAGCAAGAACATAGTGCAATAGGTCTCTATTGACTCGACCCACGCTTGACACCCACGCGGAATGGATCTATTTTAAGGTTTTTTTCGATCATACCTGGATTCACCCAGTAAAGTCTCCTTGATGGTATCGGTCGCTCATATGTTCCGTTAGGAAGCCTCATTCCCACAGAAGCACAGTCTTTCCCGATTCCTTGCTTCATCAGCAAAACTACTTTATACAAATGACATGTGCTTAAAGGAACTGGACTCGATGTCTGGAGTGTTGGGTATCTGGATAAAGAGTTAGTACATAAGTCATTTTGAAGCATTGATTGGTATTAATCAGCTGAATGAATCTCGAAATCCTATCATTATTCTAGTCTAGAATGCAGGCAAACACTGTCCGCCATGTGTTATCAACGTTAACCAGAGAGTATTTTATTGCTGGGTATTTGTTTAACTAAATGAATTTCATTATCGTCCTACAATGACAGGCAAACATTGCCCGTCATGTGTTGTCAACCAGAGAGTATTCTATTGCTGGGTATCAATCAGCTGAATGAATCTCATGAATCTCATTACCAGCCTACAATGACAGGCAAACACTGCCCGTCATGTGCTATCAATCAGAGAGTATTCTATTGCTTGGTATCAATCAGCTGAATGAATCTCATTAACCTCATCATAACACTGACTAGCGATTAATAATCTAACAATATCTTACTAATATCACAACTTGCCTGGTCCAGTCGTTATGTTCAACGTTATATTTAAAAAACAAGTTCAACAAAGCTGTTCCTGAAGAATCTTCCTCACTTGTCATCGATTCGTTAATTGTTTCAGTAAATGCGTCAATCGTAGTTATTGAAAGCTCACACTCGTTGTTGCACGCCACGTAGAATGTGTAGTTGCCGTTAGATGGAACCTAGTAGGAAAGACAAAATTCAGGAATTCAAAAAAATAGACCTTTGTTCTGATACTGCGGCCATATTAAATTATATTGTCTTCAGTAAGAGATTATCAGATACCGAGGGAGCAAATATTTAACATTCATAGGCACAGCTGTCAGGGTGTCTTTTTATATAACTTTACGTTATGCAATTTAAAACACATCTAAAAACCAATTGAATTTTCTTGTAGTTGGAGCGATACATAAAACACCAAAGCGTAAAATCAGTGAAAAATGAACTTCGCCAATCTATGCTATGCTATCTATCAGTAAAAAGGTCTACCCTTAAAACGTAAATTAAAATGGCCATGGAAAGGGCAATGGAATTTTATTCTGGAACTCCGATTTCATGCAATCGATAATTTTCCGTCGCGTAATAAAAATTTTTTGCTGAGTTAGGCCCCGTCCACATGTATTCGGAAATTTTTGTATCCGTAACTTTTTTTTTTACGGATACGGGTTGCGTCCACACGTGTCCGCAACATTTTTGTGACCGTATCCGCAAATTCTACGAAAACGGATACGTGTGGACGGTGAAAACGTTTCGAATACGCTGCGTGTGGACGCAAACATTTTCGTATCCGCAAAAAATAATCTGCGGATACAAAAATTTCCGGGTACGTGTGGACGGGGCCTTAGTATGAGTTTGGAATAAAGGCTTTGCACGATCACTTGACGGCAGCCATGTTTGATGGCAGGAACAATACAATCTTTTTACATAAAAAGGAATTCAATTCCCAAAAGCAAAGGGAATTTTTTTTGTTTTCCCATCTAACCACAAGCAGTCCAAGCTGTATTATAGGCGCCGGCATGTGATGGTGCAAAAACTCTATAGTTGGGTTCCAATCAGACTTCGAATCTCATTACGATATACTACGAATGGTGATCAAACTACTGACTACCATTTGCAGTCAGCCAGAAAGAATAGACCGTTTACACAAGGTTGCATGCACATCCAATTTTAAGAAACTTGACGGCCCACGTACGATACCAGAAAAAGAGCTTTATAACAAAAATTATCATACATCTCTATGAGGTTTTTCGATAAAAAATCATAAAACCGATAATTCTCAGTTCTCAATTTTTACTGAATTTGCGTTTTTCAGTTTTGTGACCCGTCAAGTTGGATGCGCACGCAACCTTGAAAAAACGGTCTATTGTTGAGCTTATATATATTTGGCAGGAAACAGGAAATGACGTCAATTGAAACCAAGCAACAATTGATTAAGATATTAATGTTGATAAACGGATCTCTGAAAAGAACGAAAAATATATCTTTAATGACTCACCTGAAGATATGTTGATAACCGCTGACCATAATTGATATTGATATCGTAGGGCGCATCGAAGTCCTTGATCGTTGAAACAGCATCCGGTTGGAAAGGAAAACGAGGATTGACACGCAGATTTGAGAGGTAGTTTGATGAAACGCCGTACCATAGCTCTTGAAAAACACCCTGGAATTCTTGAGAGGTATCTGAAATGAATAAATTCAAGGTTACAAAATATTTGTCAAATGTTTGCGAATCAATATTTTGATTATACTTTTGACGTATTCTCAAAAAGACTTTCAACTTTTAACTGACAGCTCGAATAGGACCTATGATGACGTCACTTGACTCTAACTACAATGATGCATCGCGAATTCTCTTTTTCATAGTTTAAATGGTGATCTCATGAGATGGTAGGTCAATTGGTACTAATTAACTGTACAAAAGAAAGCGATCAAGGGAGTCTGGTAGGAGTCAAATGTCCCCATCTTCCGCCATCGTGCAAACGTCCTTTTGGACTTGGCGTTGTGGATTTTGCTGAGGGAGAAAAAAGGGAGAACCCGGATAAACGTCAAGAGAGGAAACTAACAAACTCCACTAATAGGAGATAACGGGATCAGAAATTGAGTCCGGGACACCATGATCAAAGAATAGTATACTACCGCTACAACACTCTCCTTGATTCTAAATATACTGGTTTTCACTCAAAAATCTTCAGTTTAGACGCTTCCTAGGGATGAAAGTATTTCTTTTTGTGAAGTGGCTAGGTGGAGTTACGAGGACTCAGTTTTGAGAATTTTTTTATTAGGAGAGGTGAGGCAAAGCCGGGGTTGAATGTGACACATTTGAATCCCCAATCAAGACAAGGGGAAAACATACACTTTCAAATGGAACGATAAAACGATTTCCTAACATTCTCCCTTAAAGCTGGTGTTACACCAGATTTTTTGCGCAACATTGTTGCGTTACAACTTGGCTTTGTCTAACATGGCGTGCGCGGCAACACAAATTGATATCAGCAATGTTATGAAAAATGTTGCCGCAACAAAATATGGTTAAAATTTGTTGCGCGAAAAATCGCAAATCGTCTTGTGTAACACCACCTAAAAGATCGCATCACTGTTTTTCACTAACCTGATCCATACACGATCACTTCACATAGCGATAAGATTGCGTTGGAACCAAAAGCTCGTAAAACCAAGTACCTAGTCTTATGTGAAGCATTGCAGACGAAGTATTTATTGGAACTTGGGAAAACATACTGGAATACAGTACACTCTGCTGGTATTGATCCTTCTTCGCCGAGATATACACGCAGGTCAGCATTCTTATCCAGGCAGCATCCTCGCCTGATGATGATTTGTACGGCAGATACATATATCTCGTTTCGGAGCTCTATTCTGATGGAAGGATGATCTTCCTACAAGTATATGACAGAAAGCAGAGCTGTAGGTTGGATGCATGTCAATACATGTCAATGGATGGATGGATGGATGGATGGATGGATGG